GCCCCCTCCCCCCAGCCAGCCAGTCCCAGCCCCTTTCTGGAGACATGTACCTTTGAGATGGTGGATTGGCAGTTTGTCCACAGGAACGGAGGCTGCTAACACGGCAGGTATCAGCACCACTGTGATCCGGGATTGAGCCCCACATTTCTAGTCTTGCCCCCTAATTCTGCCTTAATGGGAACTGTCTCTTTCTTCTGACACATCCAAACGAGGGAGATCCTCGCTGTGCCTACACTTCCAATGGTACTGAAAAGTGTGATGTATCACGGGTCCTCGCACATATGACTGTAGCAGCATCTCCAGGGTTGCACGCTCAAGACTTGGGTGCAGGGCGATCGGCTTGGAGTTACGGCAAGTGACAGCAATGGGCAAAACGGCACTTGCTTAATGACCATTAATGGCAGCAGGGACTCGCCCAGGAAGTGCTGGGGTGTCAGCAAAATCAGGATGGCAGCCGCACAATCAGGTTTCACTACATATCCAGGATAGGATGGGGGACTGGGGCAGAGAGGGAGGGGGTGGGGGACTTGCTACCTAGTGTGCCAGGCTAGTCTGGCCACCGCTGGAACCGGAACCGAGCAGCCTCATGGGCCGAGCAGTCGGGAGCCCACAGCCGGCAGGAGAGGAGAAGAGAGGAGAGGAGCCAGGAGCTGGGCCGGGGGCCGAGGGGTCCCCAGGAGAGGCCTCGGGGGAGCAGAGAGCGCCGAGGCAGCAAGGCGGAGGGAGCGGGTGGCGGAACTGGGGGACGGGGCTGGGTAGAGGGTCTCGGGGGCAGGCAGAAGCTCCTGCTGCTCCAGAGCCTCTCGGGGGGAGCAAGAGAAGGACGACCTAACATCCAGCTGTAAGTACTCTATTGCTTGCCTGCATTATATATGCCAACGTTAAAAAAGCATTCTGTTACAACACACCTCCAGTAACTCAAAAAGCCCTAATACCCCACTTTTCTCCTGCACCCTATATGTTCACAGTTTGAGAAATACATTTATTTAGAACAAACCTCGAGATACTAAAAATGCCCTAATATATTCCTACACTGTATTTTCAATGCATATGTCCACTTTAAAAAAAAGACTAAAACAAATCTTCAATAACTATACTATGTTTGTAATGCATTATATATGTCTACTGCATGTATCATATCTAAAGTATGAAATGAAAAAACAATCCTAAACCCCCTATATATGCCGATATTTCTCTCCTTAATTATATGTCTCCACTTTTTAAAAAGCTTGTTTGGTTAAAACATAGCTCAAGTGACTTAACAAGCCCTAATAGATAGCTAAACTCTACACCTGTAATGTATTATATATGTCCATTTTGATTAAAAGAAACCTGGGAAAATGAAACGATGAAGGACCGAGCAAAAACAATACGACACGGAAAAATTAAAGATATCATGAGATACCAGCATGGTTGCTCAAAGAGCCCTCTGAGAAGAAGAGGGACAATATGGTCAGGTAGAAAAAAAATGGAAAGAGGGGCACATAAGTAAAGCAGAATACCAGCGAGTAGACTGAATCTGCAAGGACGGACTCGGAATAGCAAAGGCCTGGAATGGGCAAAGACTGGCAACAAAGGCCAAAAATAATAAAGGAAAATTTTATGTAAGGAACAAGAAGAAAGTCAAGAAAGTCAATAGGTCCACTGATGGGAGCAGAAGGCAGGAAGGAGACAGGCAGCAGGGTGAATTCAGAAATGCTTAACTCCTTTCCATCTCTTTTTCAGCAAAAGAAAAAAAATCAGCCTATCAACAGCAACATCGAGAGAGATAGAATCTATATACGATTCCAAATAGGCACGAAATTAGTCAAAGAGGACCAATCCACTCTGGATGGGTAGAAATGACACCAACCCTCCCAGGCTTCCAAAGGAGCTGGCAGACCTAATTTTGGGGTCACCAAACGTCATTTCTGAATGCTCCTGCAGCCCAGGGGAGCTCTCAGAGAACTGGAAAAAGAGCTTGACATCAATTCCTGGGAAAATCCTGGAATAGAGAATCAAGTGGTGGGTCCTCAGGGGGCTGACCAGCCGCACCCAGCATTTATTCCTTAATGGAGCTACCGGTACATCTACAAGAAGGGAAGCATTCAGTGGGGTACCTCAGGGATCTGCCTTCGGCCTAGGACTCTTCCACATCTTCATCAATGATCTAGATGAGGGGATAGAAGGGGAACTCATCAAATGTGCAGAGGACATCAAGATTGTTGGAAGATAGGCTCAATATCCAGGAGGATCTTGACAGACTTGAACATTGGGCCCATCTAACAAGATGCAGTTCATTGGTGAGAAAAGTACAGTTCTTCCTTAGGCAGGAAAATCAATTGCACAGGCACAGAATGGCTCAGCAGGGATAATTGTGAGACGGATCTAGAGGAAAACCACTGAAGGATCAGCCAGATGTGTGCTGCAGGTGTCAACATAGGCCAATGCAGTCTTAGGCAGCAATAAAAGAGGGGCAGTTTCAAGATGGCCAGAAGTGCTGCTACCGCTTTATATCGCACTGGTGAGACCACCTTGGAATACTGTATCCAACTCTGGTCAGCCCGATAGAAAACATTGTTGAGACTGCAGAAAGTGTGAAGAGAAGAGCAACAAAGATGATTTAAGAGCTGGAGGCTAAATCATTTCATGAACGGTTCAGGGAGTTCGCTATGTGTAACCTATCGAAGAGGATAAGGATCGGGCAGACACAACAGCAGTCTTCCAGACTGTTAGGGTCTGTCTCAAAGGACAGGGAGTGACTTAAGAACTGCAGAGCAGGAAAAAAGCCAAGGGTGGACGTTGAAAGGGAGACCCAACCAAGAAGTCAGGAGAAATTTTGAGACAGTAAGAAGTTGTGAGTGCTCCATCACTGGAAGTTTTCAAAAATGGACAAGCAAACCATTTGACTGGGATGGCAGAAAGTTCCTGCCTTGAGCAGACGGTTAGAGTAGAAGACCTCCAAAGTCCCTTCCAGCCCTATGAATCAATCTCTTATGTTCTACCACCCCTAAGACTACTTGACCACCCACAGGCCACTGACCACCCCCGGCTTCTCCCTTCTGTTGCCACTCTCTTGCAGGCTCTGGAGCAGCAGGAATGTCTGCCTGCCCCCGAGACCCTCAGCCCAGCCCTGTCTTCCAGCTCTGCCACCAGCTCCGTCAGCCTTGCGGCCTCCGGGGGTCTCTGCTGCCTCGTGGCGTCTCCTGCGGACCCCTCGGCTCCCAGTTCGGCTTCTAGCTGTTCTCCTCTCTGCTCCTCTCCTGTGGGCTGCTGGGATGCCAGCTGCTCGGCTCATTCAGCCACTCGGTTGTGGGTTCCAGATCCTGTTCTGGCCAGACTTTCTGCTCTGCCCACCGCAGAGCCCTCACCCTGTCCCTGGTGGCCCTCATCCTCAGCTGGAACTCTGAGGCTTGGAGAGGAGCCTGTGGACTCACCCTACCAAGTTCACCTCCAGGCTCCTTTTTGGCTCGGAGCCCTGGGATTCCCCAGCCCTCTCAGGCCCTGATGCTCGGTGGCTGTGAGGTGTTCAGCTCAGCTGACAGCCCTGCAGTGATTGGGAGGGCGAGGGTGAAGGTGTTGCTTCAGCTGGTAAAGGGGGGGGGCTCGCCTGGCTCCCCGGCACACTAAGTGGCAAGTCAGGGGAAGGGAGGGGAAGGGGGTGAAAGGGTAAAAGGCCACCGTAACTCCATTCCAGCTATGGGGAGAGAGGGTCAGCGAGTTGTCCCATGTGCTGGTCGCTTAGGAGCACCAAAACCATTTCTGAAGAAGGCCACTTGGCTGGGGACCTCCCTGTGGAGATCTTCACTGTCTTTCTCGAAACACCTGGTCTGCAGCTGTAATTCTTGCATCGTCATTTTGACATGGTTCAGTCCTTCTCCGTTGTCCTCCTCGGCTTTCCACAGGTCTCCAACAGTGGCCTGGGAAGCATAGCTCTGCGGCGGCTGCTGTTGCTGCTGTAGATTGTTGACTTGCTTCTTTTTTCCCCTCAAATTCTGCTGAAGAGGACTGACTTTCTGCATCAGTTGGCTGGAGTGGCTTTTCTCCATATAGTAACTTTGGCCCGTCTCAACCTGTTCATGCTGCAGACTATAGAGGTGCTTCTTAAGTTCTTAAGAAGATTCCAGACTTCTTCGAGACCTCTTCTCAAAGGTTCTAAGGCAGCCTTCTCATATTTGAGAAAGGCCGCTTGGCTGCTGACCTGCAGCGTTCTTTGTGCAGTTCTTCAGTGTGTTTCACCAAATATTTGATCTTTAGCCCTCGCTGAGGGATCATGGTGGTGGCACGCTCCAACCTTTCTCTTTTGTCCAGCAGTTTTCTGCCACTTTTTTGTTGTGCTCTTTAGTTGATGGACCATCTTCTTGAGGCAAGTGTGCTGCTCTTTCATCCATTGTTTGTCTCTTGAATTCCTGGGTCTGAAGGTCAAAGGCATCTCTTGACTGCTTAACCATCACTGGCCACAGAGAGATAGCCCAGGGATATTCACTTTAGGGCCGTTTCTTCCCTGTTGCTGACCTGTCTGAAGAAATGGAGAGACACAGTCACATCCTCCCTCCGTTCAGGGGCCATTTTGCTAACTGGCCTTAAAGTGGCCCATTTTGGGAAACACGGACATAATGCATCGATCATGACCTCCCTTCTAACTGTCCCAAGTTCCCATTTGATTCTGACTCCTTTTCAAGACAAATCACCTCTCAAAAGAGTGCAAAGGAGTCGGCATCAGCAATCGATCAGTTTGGCCATCTCTGGCCCTACTAGGTTGCTTCTGGTGACCGTAAGAAGCGAATTAGGAAAGAAGCCTCCGCTCCAAGTACTGACCAGGGCCATCCAAGGCACAACAGTCTGCTGGGTGACCTTGAGCCAGTCTCCCTCTCTCAGTCTTAGCCTACCTCACAAGCTTGTTGTTGTAGGGACGAAGGAGTCTTCGGTATGTTCACTGCCTTGAGCTATTTAGGGAAACAATAAAGGTCAGTAATAAATCTCAGTAATAAAAATAATAAATAAATAAGTAAATCTATCACCAGGCCGAGTCTGTAGGTGAAATAACCATATCTAGCCAAAGGAGTCCCTTTTTAGCTTAATTTCCCCAAATCTTTGAGCCCGGTCAGTTTCCAGCTTGGTGGTCTCAATGCCTATCTTGAACTGGGACATCTTGAAGCCCATTTTTTCTCTAGATAGCCAGACAGCCAGTCCCAGCCCCTTTCTGGAGACATGTACCTTTGAGATGGTGGATTGGCAGTTTGTCCACAGGAACGGAGGCTGCTAACACGGCAGGTATCAGCACCGCTGTGATCCGGGATTGAGCCCCACATTTCTAGTCTCGCCCCCTAATTCTGCCTTAATGGGAACTGTCTCTTTCTTCTGACACATCCAAACGAGGGAGATCCTCGCTGTGCCTACACTTCCAATGGCACTGAAAAGTGTGATGTATCACGGGTCCTCGCACATATGACTGTAGCAGCATCTCCAGGGTTGCACGCTCATGACTTGGGTGCAGGGCGATCGGCTTGGAGTTACGGCAAGTGACAGCAATGGGCAAAACTGCACTTGCTTAATGACCATTAATGGCAGCAGGGACTCGCCCAGGAAGTGCTGGGGTGTCAGCAAAATCAGGATGGCAGCCGCACAATCAGGTTTCACTACATATCCAGGAGAGGATGGGGGACGGGGGCAGAGAGGGAGGGGGTGGGGGACTTGCTACCTAGTGTGCCAGGCTAGTCTGGCCACCGCTGGACCTGGGAACCGGAACCGAGCAGCCGCATGGGCCGAGCAGTCGGGAGCCCACAGCCCGCAGGAGAGGAGAAGAGAGGAGAGGAGCCAGGAGCTGGGCCGGGAGCCGAGGGGTCCCCAGGAGAGGCCTCGGGGGAGCAGAGAGCGCCGAGGCAGCAAGGCGGAGGGAGCGGGTGGCGGAACTGGGGGACGGGGCTGGGTAGAGGGTCTCGGGGGCAGGCAGAAGCTCCTGCTGCTCCAGAGCCTCTCGGGGGGAGCAAGAGAAGGACGACCTAACATCCAGCTGTAAGTACTCTATTGCTCGCCTGCATTATATATGCCAACGTTAAAAAAACATTCTGTTACAACACACCTCCAGTAACTCAAAAAGCCCCAACACCCCACTTTTCTCCTGCACCCTATATGTTCACAGTTTGAGAAATACATTTATTTAGAACAAACCTCGAGATACTAAAAATGCCCTAATATATTCCTACACTGTATTTTCAATGCATATGTCCACTTTAAATAAAAGACTAAAACAAATCTTCAATAACTATACTATGTTTGTAATGCATTATATATGTCTACTGCATGTATCATATCTAAAGTATGAAATGAAAAAACAATCCTAAACCCCCTATATATGCCGATATTTCTCTCCTTAATTATATGTCTCCACTTTTTAAAAAGCTTGTTTGGTTAAAACATAGCTCAAGTGCCTTAACAAGCCCTAATAGATAGCTAAACTCTACACCTGTAATGTATTATATATGTCCATTTTGATTAAAAGAAACCTGGGAAAATGAAACGATGAAGGACCGAGCAAAAACAATACGACACGGAAAAATTAAAGATATCATGAGATACCAGCATGGTTGCTCAAAGAGCCCTCTGAGAAGAAGAGGGACAATATGGTCAGGTAGAAAAAAAATGGAAAGAGGGGCACATAAGTAAAGCAGAATACCAGCGAGTAGACTGAATCTGCAAGGACGGACTCGGAATAGCAAAGGCCTGGAATGGGCAAAGACTGGCAACAAAGGCCAAAAATAATAAAGGAAAATTTTATGTAAGGAACAAGAAGAAAGTCAAGAAAGTCAATAGGTCCACTGATGGGAGCAGAAGGCAGGAAGGAGACAGGCAGCAGGGTGAATTCAGAAATGCTTAACTCCTTTCCATCTCTTTTTCAGCAAAAGAAAAAAAATCAGCCTATCAACAGCAACATCGAGAGAGATAGAATCTATATACGATTCCAAATAGGCACGAAATTAGTCAAAGAGGACCAATCCACTCTGGATGGGTAGAAATGACACCAACCCTCCCAGGCTTCCAAAGGAGCTGGCAGACCTAATTTTGGGGTCACCAAACGTCATTTCTGAATGCTCCTGCAGCCCAGGGGAGCTCTCAGAGAACTGGAAAAAGAGCTTGACATCAATTCCTGGGAAAATCCTGGAATAGAGAATCAAGTTGTGGGTCCTCAGGGGGCTGACCAGCCGCACCCAGTGTTTATTCCTTAATGGAGCTACCGGTTCATCTACATGGAGCGAAGCATTCAGTGGGGTAGCTCAGGGATCTGCCTTCGGCCTAGGACTCTTCCACATCTTCATCAATGATCTAGAGGAGGGGATAGAAGGGGAACTCATCAAATGTGCAGAGGACATCAAGATTGTTGGAAGATAGGCTCAATATCCAGGAGGATCTTGACAGACGTGAACATTGGGCCCATCCAACAAGATGCAGTTCATTGGTGAGAAAAGTACAGTTCTTCCTTAGGCAGGAAAATCAATTGCACAGGCACAGAATGGGCGGTACCTGGCTCAGCAGGGATAACTGTGAGATGGATCTAGAGGAAAACCACTTAAGGATCAGCCAGATGTGTGCTGCAGATGTCAACATAGGCCAATGCAGTCTTAGGCAGCAATAAAAGAGGGGCAGTTTCAAGATCGCCAGAAGTGCTGGTACCGCATTATATCACACTGGTGGGATAGAAAATGTTGCTGAGACTGCAGAAAGTTTGAAGAGAAGAGCAACAAAGATGATTTAAGAGCTGGAGGCTAAATCGTTTCATGAACGGTTCAGGGAGTTCGCTATGTGTAGCCTATCAAAGAGGATAAGGATCGGGCAGACACAACAGCAGTCTTACACACAGTTAGGGTCTGTCTCAAAGGACATGGAGTGACTTAAGAACTGCAGAGCAGGAAAAAAGACAAGGGTGGACGTTGAAAGGGAGACCCAACCAAGAAGTCAGGAGAAATTTTGAGACAGTAAGAAGTTGTGAGTGCTCCATCACTGGAAGTTTTCAAAAATGGAGAAGCAAACCATTTGACTGGGATGGCAGAAAGTTCCTGCCTTGAGCAGACGGTTGGAGTAGAAGACCTCCAAAGTCCCTTCCAGCCCTATGAATCAATCTCTTATGTTCTACCACCCCTAAGACTACTTGACCACCCACAGGCCACTGACCACCCCCGGCTTCTCCCTTCTGTTGCCACTCTCTTGCAGGCTCTGGAGCAGCAGGAATGTCTGCCTGCCCCCGAGACCCTCAGCCCAGCCCTGTCTTCCAGCTCTGCCACCAGCTCCGTCAGCCTTGCGGCCTCCGGGGGTCTCTGCTGCCTCGTGGCGTCTCCTGCGGACCCCTCAGCTCCCAGTTCGGCTTCTAGCTGTTCTCCTCTCTGCTCCTCTCCTGTGGGCTGCTGGGATGCCAGCTGCTCGGCTCATTCAGCCACTCGGTTCTGGGTTCCAGATCCTGTTCTGGCCAGACTTTCTGCTCTGCCCACCGCAGAGCCCTCACCCTCTCCCTGGTGGCCCTCATCCTCAGCTGGAACTCTGAGGCTTGGAGAGGAGCCTGTGGACTCACCCTACCAAGTTCACCTCCAGGCTCCTTTTTGGCTCGGAGCCCTGGGATTCCCCATCCCTCGGAGGCCCTGATGCTCGGTGGCTGTGAGGTGTTCAGCTCAGCTGACAGCCCTGCAGTGATTGGGAGGGCGAGGGTGAAGGTGTTGCTTCAGCTGGTAGGGGGGGGCTCGCCTGGCTCCCCGGCACACTAAGTGGCAAGTCAGGGGAAGGGAGAGGAAGAATTCCTTTTCTTTCTCGAAAGGGTAAAAGGCCACCGTTCCTCCATTCCAGCTATGGGGAGAGAGGGTCAGCGAGTTGTCCCATGTGCTGGTCGCTTAGGAGCGCCAAAACCATTTCTGAAGAAGGCCACTTGGCTGGGGACCTCCCTGTGGAGATCTTCACTGTCTTTCTCGAAACACCTCGTCTGCAGCTGTAATTCTTGCATCGTCATTTTGACATGGTTCAGTCCTTCTCCGTTGTTCTCCTCAGCTTTCCACAGGTCTCCAACAGTGGCCTGGGAAGCATAGCTCTGCGGCGGCTGCTGTTGCTGCTGTAGATTGTTGACTTGCTTCTTTTTTTCCCTCACATTCTGCTGAAGAAGACTGACTTTCAGCATCAGTTGGCTGGAGTGGCTTTTCTCCACGTAGTAACTTTGGTCCGTCTCAACCTGTAAATGCTGCAGACTTTAGAGGTGCTTCTTCAGTTCTTAAGAAGGTTCCAGATTTCTTCGAGACCTCTTCTCAAAAGTTCTAAGGCAGCCTTCTCATATTTGAGAAAGGCCGCTTGGCTGCTGACCTGCAGCGTTCTTTGTGCAGTTCTTCAGTGTGTTTCACCAAATATTTGATCTTTAGCCCTCGCTGAGGGATCATGGTGGTGGCACGCTCCAACCTTTCTCTTTTGTCCAGCAGTTTTCTGCCACTTTTTTGTTGTGCTCTTTAGTTGATCGACCATCTTCTTGAGGCAACTGTGCTGCTCTTTCATCCATTGTTTGTCTCTTGAATTCCTGGGTCTGAAGGTCAAAGGCATCTCTCGGCTGCTTAACGTGGAGATGGAGACCATCACTGGCCGTTGAGAGATAGCCCAGAGATATTCACTTTAGGGCCGTTTCTTCCCTGTTGCTGACCTGTCTGAAGAAATGGAGAGACACAGTCACATCCTCCCTCCGTTCAGGGGCCATTTTGCTAACCGGCCTTAAAGTGGCCCATTTTGGGAAACATGGACATAATGCATTGATCATGACCTCCCTTCTAACTGTCCCAAGTTCCCATTTGATTCTGACTCCTTTTCAAGACAAATCACCTCTCAAAAGAGTGCAAAGGATTCGGCATCAGCAATCGATCAGTTTGGCCATCTCTGGCCCTACTAGGTTGCTTCTGGTGACCGTAAGAAGCGAATTAGGAAAGAAGCCTCCGCTTCAAGTACTGACCAGGGCCATCCAAGGCACGACAGTCTGCTGGGTGACCTTGAGCCAGTCTCCCTCTCTCAGTCTTAACCTACCTCACAAGCTTGTTGTTGTAGGGACGAAGGAGTCTTCAGTATGTTCATTGCCTTGAGCTATTTAGGGAAACAATTAAGGTCAGTAATAAATCTCAGTAATAAAAATAATAAATAAATAAGTAAATCTATCACCAGGCCGAGTCTGTAGGTGAAATAACCATATCTAGCCAAAGGAGTCCCTTTTTAGCTTAATTTCCCCAAATCTTTGAGCCCGGTCAGTTTCCAGCTTGGTGGTCTCAATGCCTATCTTGAACTGGGACATCTTGAAGCCCATTTTTTCTCTAGATAACATTGCTGCCCCCTCCACCCAGCCAGCCAGTCCCAGCCCCTTTCTGGAGACATGTACCTTTGAGATGGTGGATTGGCAGTTTGTCCACAGGAACGGAGGCTGCTAACACGGCAGGTATCAGCACCGCTGTGATCCGGGATTGAGCCCCACATTTCTAGTCTCGCCCCCTAATTCTGCCTCAATGGGAACTGTCTCTTTCTTCTGACACATCCAAACGAGGGAGATCCTCGCTGTGCCTACACTTCCAATGGCACTGAAAAGTGTGATGTATCACGGGTCCTCGCACATATGACTGTAGCAGCATCTCCAGGGTTGCACGCTCATGACTTGGGTGCAGGGCCATCGGATTGGAGTTACGGCAAATGACAGCAATGGGCAAAACGGCACTTGCTTAATGACCATTAATGGCAGCAGGGACTCGCCCAGGAAGTGCTAGGGTGGCAGAAAAATCAGGATGGCAGCCGCACAATCAGGTTTCACTACATATCCAGGAGAGGATGGGGGACTGGGGCAGAGAGGGAGGGGGTGGGGGACTTGCTACCTAGTGTGCCAGGCTAGTCTGGCCACCGCTGGACCTTGGAACCGGAACCGAGCAGCCGCATGGGCCGAGCAGTCGGGAGCCCACAGCCTGCAGGAGAGGAGAAGAGAGGAGAGGAGCCAGGAGCTGGGCCGGGAGCCGAGGGGTCCCCAGGAGAGGCCTCGGGGGAGCAGAGAGCGCCGAGGCAGCAAGGCGGAGGGAGCGGGTGGCGGAACTGGGGGACGGGGCTGGGTAGAGGGTCTCGGGGGCAGGCAGAAGCTCCTGCTGCTCCAGAGCCTCTCGGGGGGAGCAAGAGAAGGACGACCTAACATCCAGCTGTA